CCCATCGCTAGTAGATTGGAGGCCATCGCTCTTAGGTTGGAGGCCATTGCTAGTAGATTGGAGGCCATAGCTAGTAGGTTGGAGGCCATAGCTAGTAGGTTGGAGGACATGGCTAGTAGGTTGGAGGCCATAGCTAGTAGGTTGGAGGACATGGCTAGTAGGTTGGAGGCCATCGCTAGTAGGTCGGAGGCCATCGCTCCTAGATTGGAGGCCATCGCTCTTAGGTTGGCGGCTGTCTCTAGTAGGTTGGAGGCCATCGCTAGTAGGTGTTGGAGGCCATCGCTGGTGGGGTTGAGGCCATCGCTAGTAGGTTGGAGGCCACCGCTAGTAGGTTGCAGGCCATCGCTAGTAGGTTGCAGGCCATCGCTAGTAGGTTGGAGGCCATCGCTAGTAGGTTGGAGGCCATCACTAGTGGGTTGGAGGCCATAGCTAGTGGGTTGGAGGCCATAGCTAGTAGGTTGGGGGCCATGCCTAGGAGGGGTTAGAGGCCATGGCTATTAGGTTGCAGGCCATCGCTAGTAGGTTTGCAGGCCATCGCTAAGATTGGAGGCCATGGCTATTAGGTTGCAGGCCACCGCTAGTGGGTTGCAGGCCATTGTTCCAATGCCCTTGGGTTGCAGGACATGGCTATTAGGTTGGAGGCCATCGCTAGGTTGGAGGCCATTGTTCCTGCGGACTGCTGTGGACCTGTTTGGGCCTGGACGCCGATGGTGTCAAGACTGCTTCGTGTTTCTTCTGGGATGAAGGTGCTCCAGGAGTCTTTCGATCCCCAGGCTTCGAAGTGACCACTGCAGAGCTTCACCAAAAAGGTTTTGCTGTTGCTCCAGATCGCCTGAACGACGTGAAAGTAGAGTGGGAAGCAAGGATGCTACGTGCAAGGATGCTGTTGAGCTCGGGTTGAAAGCTTTTTTGCAGAATGTCATAAAATGTCATAAATAACAACATGCATCAGATTGGATCTTGCATCACTCTTGAAATAGACATATTGTTGTATCCAACATTTCTCAGCTTTAGTGGATTTGCCTCGACACCAACTGACTCCAAGTCTGTCTTCACGAACGAAATATCTGCGCCAGCATTTTTGTCACCCCAGGCAATGAAGTTCCCATTACGAAGCTGCGCGAGGAAGGCAAATTTGGTTCTCCAAATGGCCTGTGGACACCAAGTCTCACGCTTCAAGGGTACAGGGAACACAAAGTTTAGTCTCATGAATAGCAATGGCCTCCCACCTAATAGCGATGGCCTCCAACCTAGTAGTTCCTAGTAGCTTCTTGCTCCTAGCAGTGAGGCCAGGAGCTACTAGTAGCGTCCTTGCTCCTAATAGCGATAGCCTCCAACACTTAAAAAAAGATTGAAAATATTTAGCATCAAGTGCGTGGTGAAGATTGGAAGTTGCCGTCCAGCCTGGGATTGCTCCATGAAGGGCGGGCTTGGCTGTATGGCTATCCGGATGCACAAGTGCCCGCAATGCCAAAACACCAGCAAACGAGACACTGAAGTACACTAAATTTCGCAAGACTGGACTGTCTTCCTGTTGCGCATTTCATCTCACTCAATTCACGGTGCAACGGCGAAGGTCACTCGACGCTGGAGCTGTCGCTCGAAGAACCTACACAGAGCTGTCGCATCTCCTGACTGTCACCACATCGAATCACATCGACGCTTTGCTCAGAAGAAGTCAAAAATGAATCATCAAAACCTTCCAGACACCATAAGAAGTGCTCTTGGAAAAGCAGTCTTGGAGGCAGAACCCAATAGTACCCTGCACTTAAATTCAAGACCCTTTTCAAAACGCAACCTCTACAATCTTTGGACTTAGCATGGAAGAAAACATGCGATCTAGTAGGGTCTGTTCAGCGGGTTCACCCGCTCCTTGTTTGGTTTACATAGTTTGCACGCTTCACATGTCCTGTCGCAGGTGGACATGTTCCTCACTTGGAGGACCTGCTAGGAACCTCGTAGAAATACGAAAAATAAAGGCTCTTAGAGTGGCCCTTTACCTTTACTCCCTTTACCGTCTTTTTTCTTCGAACGTTTTCGTTACGTTCCCCACTCAAGGGGTGCGGGCGCGGCCGTGTGGCGATGCCTCACCGGTGCAAAGCACTTGCTTCGGTGTCGTCCATGTGTGCCCTTCGAGGAAACAAATAGCGAAGAAATGATTGCGAAAGTTCCCAACTGTTGAGCCTTAACCAAAACACACCGCAAACACAAGGCAAACCTACGCAATCTTTGCTGTTCTGTTTTGCCGTGCCCTCACTCGTGGCAGTTGTTGTTGGGTG